TGGTTACGAGGAACAACTACAAATATAAAATTGGTTGTAAAGGCTCAAGCTTTTTTAGAATGCATGAAGGTAAATAAACCTTGTGCGCAGCAGCCCCCTCTAATACCCGAGACTCATCGCGATCCAGGGATGTACATTAGAGCTCCTAGATTGTAAGCTCCAAGGAGCAGAGCCCTCAAATCCCTCTTGTATTGAACTGCATTGTTACTGTATTATCTCCCACTATAATGTAAAGCGCTGAGTAAACTGTTGGTGCTATATAAATCCTGTATAATAATAATAATAATAGAGCTTCAGATCTCCGGGGACTATCCCTCCTCACTGTCAGTTAAATGCAGTGAGCCAATAAGGAGAGACAGGGGGCAGGGCCCAGCCACGGCTCTATGTGTGAATGGATATGCAGAGTAGCGGGTAGGAAGCAATCCTGCTTGGGTGCCCCCATAGCAAGCTGCTGCTCTGAGGGCACTTGGCAGGAGGAAGGGGCCAGGAACACTGGTGGACCCAGAGGAGAATTGGGGCTGCACTGTGCAAAACCAATGCACAGAGCAGCCAAGTATAACATGTTTGTTTGTTTTAACATTGTCTGTAATACCACTTTAAACTTATTCTCCCTGGAAAAGAGATGCTTAAGAGGAGATATGATAGAGATTTACAAATATCTCAATGGTTATTCTAGCATAGGGAAAAAACAATTCAGTCAGGTCACGTGGTCACTAAATGATGTTGGATGAGAAGCAGTTTAAACTGCATGATGGGTTCTCTACTGTCAGAGCGTTATGGATGTGGAACACTCTTCTACAATTGGTGTCAGCAGGGAGTGTTGATAATTTAAAAAAAAACTCTAAGATGGGCATCTTGGCAAATGCAATATACAGGCATACAGAAAATGGTATTGACATAAACACACCCACACAGGTTAAACTGGATGATTGGTGTCTTTATTCAACCTTACCATGTAACTACTGTATGCCTGGATAAGAGAGATGGTTTCCAGGGACTACAAGCTAGAGTTTCACTCTCTGCCCCCGCTTCATGTTCTCCAAACAACTTGTATCTCTACAACAGTTAGCAGACCTCTGCACTGCTCTTGAAGACCTTTTGAACCAAAAAACTTTTCACTCTTCCCTCCCAGGCTCAGACTTTACAGTCTAGAACAGTGGTTCTCAACCTTTCTAATGCCGCGACCCCTTAATACAGTTCCTCATGTTGTGGTGACCCCCAACCATAAAATTATTTTTCGTTGCTACTTCATAACTGTAATTTTGCAGTTGGAGGACTAGTGCCACATCATTGGTGTCAGTGGGAGGAATAGTGCCCCATCGTTGGTGTCAGTGGGGGGAATAGTGCCCCATCGTTGGTGTCAGTGGGGGGAATAGTGCCCCATCGTTGGTGTCAGTGGGGGGAATAGTGCCCCATCGTTGGTGTCAGTGGGGGGAATAGTGCCCCATCGTTGGTGTCAGTGGGGGGAATAGTGCCACATCGTTGGTGTCAGTGGGGGGAATAGTGCCCCATCGTTGGTGTCAGTGGGGGGAATAGTGCCCCATCGTTGGTGTCAGTGGGGGGAATAGTGCCCCATCGTTGGTGTCAGTGGGGGGAATAGTGCCCCATCGTTGGTGTCAGTGGGGGAATAGTGCCCCATCGTTGGTGTCAGTGGGGGGAATAGTGCCCCAACGTTGGTGTCAGTGGGGGGAATAGTGCCCCAACGTTGGTGTCAGTGGGGGGAATAGTGCCCCATCGTTGGTGTCAGTGGGTGAATAGTGCCCCATCATTGGTGTCAGTGGGGGGAATAGTGCCCCATCATTGGTGTCAGTGGGGTGAATAGTGCCCCATCATTGGTGTAGCAGTGGAAAGAATAGTGCCCCATCATTGGTGTCAGTGGGAGGAATAGTGCCCCATCATTGGTGTCAGTGGGAGGAATAGTGCCCCATCATTGATGTCAGTGTGGTGGAGGGGGAAATAGTGCCCCATCTTTGGGGTCAGGGGGGGGGGAATAGTGCCCCATCGTTGGTGTCTGTGGGGGGAGGAATAGTGCCCCATTCTTGGTGTCTGTGGGGGGAGGAATAGTGCCCCATCGTTGGTGTCTGTGGGGGGGAGGAATAGTGCCCCATCGTTGGTGTCAGTGGGGGGGGAGGAATAGTGCCCCATCGTTGGTGTCAGTGGGGGGGGGAGGAATAGTGCCCCATCGTTGGTGTCAGTGGGGGGGAGGAATAGTGCCCCATCGTTGGTGTCAGTGGGGGGAGGAGGATAGTGCCCCATCGTTGGTGTCAGTGCGGGGGGGGGGGGGAGGAAATAGTGCCCCATCATTGGTGTCAGTGGGAGAAATAGTGCCCCATTGTTGGTATTAGTCACACAAATGATGGGGCACTATTCCTCCCACTGACACCAATGATACTTACCTTGCTGACCCCTGCTCCAGCCTGGGTTCGCTCTCTCACTTACCTGTCAGCTGTCTTCCTTCTCTGGCCGCTCTCCTCTTCACTTACTCCGGCAGTTCCCTCGATCTTCTTAGATCTACGCGCGCTGCCGCTCGGCTCCTCCTCTCCAAGCTCCACCTCCTCGCCGGTGATTGGCCGCCTGTGTGCCTCTCCTGAGCTACAGTTCCGGTGGCCAATCAGCGGCGAGGAGGCGGAGTTGTTGAGGGACCCCGGAGGTGTGGCCAGGTGACAGGGCAGCGTGTCATCCCGCCCACACATCGACTGAGTCAGAGGAGCGGTGTCTTGGTTCCTAAGACCATTGGAAATATGTGTTTTCCGATGGTCTTAGGCGACCCCTGGGAAATGGTCGTTCAACCCCCAAAGGGGTCGCGACCCCCAGGTTGAGAACCGCTGGTCTAGAAGCTGTCCAATTCTGCACTTCTGGGCTTGATGGCAGCCTCCTTTTGAGGCAATTCTGTTTGCTCAGTTCCACTCCAAACCTCTACAACACAACATTCAGTTAATGTAGGACAAATCAGTTCAGTTTCTAGAGAAGCCGACTTGCCTGATACCAAATACCAGATTGTCTCTGGTTTGGTGCTTCAGGAATCCAGCTCTATAGAGCTGGGAAAATCCTACCGCCCACTATCTTCATCATAACTAATGCCATCCTGAGGGGCTGGGGTGGAGTCAGACACTTTATCAGTGTAGGGGAACTGGTCATCCAAGTAACCTTGTCTCCTGATCAGAATTCTAGAATTATGAGTGCTTCAGTTGTCCCTGCAATGCAGGTGCCTTGACTGCAGGGTCATCTGCGCCAAATTCCAGCTGGACCATGCTATGGCAGTGGTGTACATCAATCACCATGAAGGAAATAGACGTCGACAAGAGAGGTAAAAAAAAAGAGTCTAGCCTGCACAGGACTCCAGGTTCCAGCCCTATGCATCATTCATATTCCAGGTTTGGACAACTGGCAGACAGATTATCTCAACCAGCAATGCCTAGAACCAGGGAATTGGTTCTTACACCTGGAAGTATTTCATTATCATTGTCACAGGTGGAGGATCCAAAATGTGGACCTCTTGGCCTTTAGGTTCAACAACAAACTGCAGGTTTGTTTCCAGATGCAGAGATCCACTGGCAAAAAGATTGGATTCTTATTTGATTCTGTGAAATCAGAGCCTGATCTGCACCTTTCCTCATCTATAACTCCTACCACGTCTACTTCACAGGATTGAGATGGAGGGCATTTCTGTCATTCTCATAGCTCTGAATTGGCCAAAGTGCATCAAACTGACAAACACTCTGTGGGCTCTTCCAGATCATCCATTTCTCCTATTACAAGGTTCAGTCTACCACCCTGTTGCTTGGTTGCTGGCCTGAACAGCATGGCTGTTGAAACAGATCTTAAAAGAGGGGGTCAGTAATTTCCAGTTTTAAATATACGAAATCTACCATGGTACATGGAAAACTTTGCTTGATGGGGAGTACTGACATTTTTGCAATCAGGCCTGGATCAACATTTGGCCTACCATCAAAGGACAAATATCAGCCCTTGCAACCAGTTTCAAACATGGCTAGCCTCTTATTTTTTGGTCAAGGCCTTTCATACAGGGCTTCTCTTATGCAGCTCCTCCTATACAACCTACTGTGACCCTGTCTCATTTTGGATTTGACAGCTTTTGAACCTATTGCAGTGATCCCCCTTTTCACCCTCAATGACAAGGTTGAATTTTTTGCTGCCATCACCTCTGCAAGGTGTGCGTTTAAACTGGTGGTCCTTTTGTGTAAACCCCCCCAAAAAACTTTATTTTTTGGTCTTATACAAGGATAAGGTACTTTTGAGACATAGAACTTGTTTTTTTTCCTGTTAATATATAATTTTATTGATATTACATATAAATACATCTTACAAACAACTTCACATACTATCTCCCACACACATGTAGAAGAAGAGGAGGCCTAGAACCTTCTTACTTAATAAAGTAGTTCCATCCTTTTGCCTCAGCAAGAATATTGTTAGTCCATCTGTCTATCCAGCTTCTGTACATCCGAAGTTATTTTTTTTTTATTTTGAAAGCTCACAACCTGGAGTGTCAGAGAGAAGAGTTGGCTGCTAGGGAAGTGAGGGATAAAGTAAGTAGAAGTAATTTTTATCGAGTACCCTAGACATGTAAATGGGCACTGCAGGAATTTTTTTTTTCTCGTTTCCCTGGAGTTCAGCTTTAAGGACAAAGTAATACCTTTTTTTTTGTCAATCCACACTCTACTAGGTCACAGAGTGCCTCTTGGGCCTTTTAGCCATCAAGCAACTGTTCCCCAAATTTCAAGATTGCCACCTTGTCTTCTATTCATGTTTTCTAAGGTTTACTGGGTGGATTATCAGGCCTCTACTGATGCCAGTTTCAGACATAAGGTTCTTCTGGCAGCGCTTTTGAGAATAGTGTTATTCTGTTTGTGGGTCTGTTAGTGCATGGTTTGCTGTGTTGCCAAACTCTCAGTTGGACTACTTTTTGATGTCTCCATTGCAGGGGCGGACTGACCATTTGGAAACTCGGGCACTGCCCGAGGGCCCGGGGTCAGTAGGGGGGGCCCCATGAGATGCCCCTGGTACCTTTTTCATAGGCTTTTTTGAGTTTGGGCAAGGACACAGGAGCCCCATGATCCCCTATTGCCCGGGGGCCCCATGAGTTGTCAGTCAGCCCCTGTTCCATTGTATCAAATTAAGTGGATTCTGTGTCCTTAATAAACAAAGAAAACAAAGAACAATTTTTTAGTTACTGTAAAATCCATTTCCTGAATTGCATTAGAGGACAAAGGTCACCCACCTGTTTGTGATCCACTTCTAAGTTACTGCATTTCTACAAAACTGAAGCATGCTCGAAGTAACAGGGGGGCTATACCTGGATAGCTAATTTTTTTTTTGTGTGTGTCCAGTGTCCAAATTCTCCATAGCTACAGACAATTTCATATGCGTATATGTCACTCAAAGTGTGATAGTGCTGAAAGCTAAAAATCGTCCTGGACTGGAAGGGGGTGAAAGTGTCCAGACTTGATGTGGTTAATATTATATTTCAGGAGGACCCACTTACCTGTATACTAGGTTGTACAGATCACCTCCCAAACAAGAAATCATATTAATGGTGATACTGAGGGCACTGTTTCAGGCTTTCAAATTAGCACAGTTAATTACATCTCCCATTATACAAGTGGTAGGAACATATCAATAACCTGTTTACACCAAAGAAGTGCATTTACCCCTTCAAGGAATACCTAAGAAATATTATAAAATACCTTTAGATTATAAGCTCCATGAGCAGAGCCCTCACATTCCTTCTGTACTGAAATGTATTGTAATTGTACTTTCTCCCTTATATTGTAAAGCGCTGCGCAAACTGTTGGCGCTATATAAATCCTGAATAATAATAATACAATATAGGGTAAATGGCTGGATAACCCAGGAATGGGTACTAGAGATTAGGAGAGTGGTCTGCAAGAGCAAGGTATAACTACTGATACTATAAAAAGCGTAAGCCACAGGCCCCCATAGAGGGCACCTGAGGGCCATGTGCCAAACCCTAAGCAAAGTAAGTGGGTTTTTGAGAAGTCTCTAGTATGATATACAGAGTTGATTTAAAGATTTAAAATACAACTCCAATTCCAAAAGAGTTGGGATGCTGTGTAAAATCAACAGAAAAACAAAATGCATTGATTTACAAATCTCATAAACCCATACTTTATCTACAAGAGACATTAGAAAAAATATCAAATGTTAAAACCGCGAAAATGTGACATTTGAGAAAAAAAAAGTTAATTTTGAAATTGATGAAACACGCCCCAAAAAAGTTGTGATAGGGCACAAAAAAGAAAAAACTGGCAAAGCAAGTGGTATTAACAAGGAAGAGCTGGAGGAACATTTTACAACTAATTATGTAATTGGCAACAGGTCAGTAACATGACTGGGTATAAAAAGAGTATCTTAGAGAGTCAGAGTGTCTGAGAAGTAAAGATGGGCAGAAGTTCACCAATCTGTGAGAAGTTGCATCTAAAAATTGTCAAACAACTTCAGGATAATGTTCCTCAATCTAAATTTACAAAGAGTTTTAGCCCTGGTTCACACCAGTGTGACTTCATGTGCGACACGTGATTTACAAATCACACCTGAAGTCGCATCTAATGTATTTCTATGGAGCTGTCTTAGTCAGTGCAATATGAAGTAGCGTGATTTCAAAAATAGTTCCTGCACTACTTTTTTTCTGATTTCACTGTGACTTGCATTGACTTCTATTAAATGAAGTTGCAAGCTGCAGTTAAATCAGAGGTACAAATTACACTGATCTGCGGCTTTGAAATCAAGCTACTTCAATTGAAGCAGTGCGAATTGCGCGATTTCAAAATTACAGTGTGAACCAGGGCTAAATATATCATCATCTACAGTACATAATCTCCTCAGAAGATTCTGGGAATCTGGAGAAATCTCTGTTGTCAAGGGACAAGGCAGAAACACAATATAGGATTGCGCATGATTTTCGGGCCATTAGACAGCTCTGATATAAAAATATCACTGCATAGGCTCAGGAATACTTACAAAAATCACTGTGAGCACAGTTCACTGTGCCATCCAAAAATGCAAGTTAAAGCTCTATCATGCACAGAAGAATCCATATCTGGACATGATCCAGAAACGACACCATCAAGCAACTGGGCCAAAACTCATTTAAAATGGTCTGTTGAAAAGTGAAAAACTGATTTAAAATGGTCTGTTGAAAAGTGAAAAACTGTTCTGTAGTGAGACAAATCAAAATTTTAGTTTCTATTAGGCAACAATGGGCGCCACGTCCTACAGACCTTCCGGCTTGTTATCAGCTTGCAAAAGCCTGCATCTCTGATGGTATGGTGCATTAATGCGTATGAAATGAGAAGCTAGCACATTTGGAAAGGCACCATCAATGCTGAAAGATATATCCAGGTTTTAGAGCAGCATATGCTTACATCCAGATTATTTTCAGGGAATGCCTTGCATATTTCAGCACGACAATGCTAAACTGAATACTGTATCTATGACAACAGCGTGGCTTTGTAGTAGTCCAAGTGCTTAACTGGCTTGCCTGCTGTCCAGACCTTTCACCAACTGAAAATATTTGGCCCATATTGACATGGAAAATACGACAAAGACAACCCAGGACTGTTGAGCAGTTAAAATCCTGAATCGGTCAAGAATGGGACAACATCCCTCTCCCAAACCTCCAGCAGCTGTTCTCCTCTGTTCCAAGATGTTTAGTGTTGTTAAAAAAGGGGATAAAACACTTTAGTAAATATGGCACTGTCCCAACTTTTATGAGACCTGTTGCTACCATTAATTTTAAAAAATTACCTTATTTTTTCTTAAAATAGTACATTTTCTCAGTTTAAACATTTGATATGTTTTCTATTGCAAATAAAATACAGTATGAGTTTATGAGCATTGCAAATCATTGTATTCCATTTTTATTTTAGATTTTACATAGTGTTGGAATTGGGATTGTACTAAATAACTGTGTTATGCATAAGTTAATAATGTGACAGCTGCAGTGTGTCTGTTCTTTCTTACCATGGCAATTCAGTTTATGTATATTTACTGGAACATGACTTAACTGTTGGTGTTATCACATTCTCTTTTGCAAAGATGCACTTGCAATATAAGATGTGGAATCGTTTACAAAATGCAGATTTAAAAAAAAATGAAGTATTTGCCTCTAAAAGAAAATAGCTTGTCTACTCAAAAGCTATAGAATTGTACCCAAGTGAATGTCTGCATTCAATAGTAAAGAACAGTGCAGGTTCCTGGTCACAAATTAATGGCCCCCTCACTGATGGGCAGGCAGATTATAATCTGTCATGCAATATGACAGGGAAGGAATTGATTAATGCCAACTTTCTGTAGCTTGACATTAACTCCAAACACTTGGGGAAAATCATGAAAAATCTTCAGAGATAAAAAACAAAACAGGAACCTATAGCAGATTGCATGGCCCCAAAAAGAGCCACAATCAGAACATTATCAAGCCAGCTTGAGATAGCATGCAAAGAATTAAGGCAGCCAAAGTCTGTAATGGAACTGTGGAAAGGTCTCCAACATGCTTCGAACATTTTGCCATGCGAGTACCTTTAGAAATTTCATGCAAGTGTACCTATGAGAAGAGCTGCTGTGTAAATGGAAAAGAGTAGTCAGTCACAGCAAATATTAATTCAAAGGAGTTCTATGGTCCTAGCATACACTCATTTTAAAATATCAACATTGTAATTGCAATACAAATATTTATTGATAATCCAATATAAGCTTACCTGAAGAATCACCTTTAAATGATGTGAGTTCTGTCTCTCTGCTGGACGTTGCTTTCTGCAATTCCCTGCATACACTACAGCTCCTCTTCCGCTGTTTAATTTCATCCCATGGTACCTTGCTGCCTGCAAGCAGTGATTCCTGTAATGACTAATTTTTTTTTCTTCACTTTTTTGGAAGTAGGCCCCGTTAGCTCTCTTTTCCCTCCACTTTCTTAAGTGCTCTTGAGGGCATTTTCACTTCCTTCAATGTGGAAATGTATTAGAACACCAGTCAGTTTTTACTGCTGTCTGTGCCCCCAATTAGGGAGATTTACCCTGTCTGTTTGTTCCTGTTTACCATTATCATTGAAATAAAAGAAAATCCCATATTTTGGGATGACAGAAAAGTAATAGAGAGGAAATCTTCCAATGGGGACACTAGTTCTGGTGATCTGGGAGTCCCCAAGGGATTCCCCAAGTTTGCAGTGACTTCCTGTTTGGCTATGGGACAGGAAGTGAAGGGAAATCTTTGCAATGGGACACAGATGGCGAATAAAAATCTGACAGGGGTTATAACCCTCCCTTACTCTATCCAAAATGGAAAAAAAAAAAATTTTGCCTATATTTCTACTTTATAGTGTTTTCTGCTTTACCTCTATGAATATATCTTGTGGTGTTTTGGGGAACCTGAATTCTAGCTATATTCTTCTGGATATGTTTAAATTTGTTTCTGCTGTCTCAGTCTTTTCTATCTCCTTACATTCTGCCCCACCTTCTTATGTTATGTCCCATTTCTTTTTCAGTGCTGAGTTCTACACGAGTTCCTACGCATACTTCATCTGCACTATCCAACCTGAATTGTGAATCCTACTTTAGAAAATAAATTTAGGAACATTACATAGGATCTTTTAAGGGAGCAATAGCCTTGAACAAAAGCATATGGCTCTGCAGAGGCGAGAGAACCAGAAGGTGGCTCCAGGGAGACAGAGAAGGTTGCAGCGGGCTGCAAAGAATCGTGCCAGGTGTTTGGTGATTCCAAACAGAAAAGTTGCAGAAAGAGAAATGGGAACAGGTTCTGAGATTATAGTTCCCCATCATTAAACTAGGTAAGAAAAACCTTACATGACTGCAGAGCATGGGGGAAGCAATCTGCATGCGCTAAGGAAAGAGGATCACCCAATCAAGAATTTGGAATGTGCCTAAGTGGTGAATGTCAGTTATTTAGAGATGCAGGGCAATCTCTCAAGCCAAAGTCTGCAGAGCAGTCATATAACACTACATTTTGGTGATTAAGGTAGGCATGTGCGGGGTACCTACAAACTGCATAAATGGAGAGGGAAACAGAAGGAAAATACTCAGCACAAGGCAATGCAACCTTTTCCACTACTAAACCGGCAAATGGAGTTGATCTGTACAAAAGGCCAGGTTTTTGAGGAGACAAGGGCAGAATGACAAAACAGCAAGAATTCCAAGCTAGATTCAAGTTCCTTCAAGATTGATAGCTGTTCCTTTGCTCCAGTAAATGGCCTTATACAGGCATCACCCCATCGCCCTGATTCAAGCTACCTTACTTGACTTGATGACTAAAGTTAAATTTTCTGCCACTATGTCTCATCTATTCCAAAGGATATTGCTATTTCTGGAAACAGCATGTGCTACCAACTGTAAAAGTTCCTCTGCCTTTCTTTCCCATTACTATATTCACAGGTTACATTCTAAAATACCTTCTGCATTTACATTTTCAAAATGCAAGGGAGGTTTCGATATTTTAGAGGAGGTGACTGAAGATTTCTCGCTGACAAAATTTGGTGAAGTTAACTCTTCAACTTCTTGCCACATACTGGCTATATTGTACTCATTGTTTGAATTACTAGGGGGCAGAATACTCCGCTTAATGGATGTGGACTGAAGGGGATCAGCGTGTCCGGAGGAAAGATTTGCAATAACCCAGGCCCAACAGGTGAGACAGCGAACAATCAGCTCGCATTCTTGGAAGTGCGCAGTTAGAAGTCTTAAGTACTACATCACTAGCCAGAGAGGAACGTCCGGTACTGAGGTGGAAGAAAAGAAAGGTGGAAGCTAGAAAGTCACTATCAGGGCAGATATGCAAATGAGGACCAAAATGCAGTATGGAGCAGATTAGATTTTATTATATTATTTTGCCCCAGCAACATGGATTACAATCAAAGCTAATATTGTACCGATCAGTTGGAATGCCAGAGGAAAATAATGATAGGCCTCTCCACAGAGTTGGTGGTAGAAATGAATTAATGAGTAAATTACAGAGACATTTGGCAAAGACAAACAGTAAATATAAAGGCTCTGTAATTTAAGCAATAAGGAAGGGGACATCTTGCAATAGTTTCACGACAGAAGATAGCAAAAAGCATAAAAAAAACCTATAAATAATTGAAGAGATCCTAAATGATAATAAAAAAAAACTCTCAAAGTCATGCTTTGCCTAAAATATTTTATTCTCACTGTTAAAAATCAGATCAAGACAAGCTGATATACAGATGCTGATCCAGTCCAAGTACACATATATACACATACATACACACATTCAGAAAAAATGTTCCAGTCATGAGGTCTCCCTTGCAATGTCAGAGACGTATGGTACATATATATACATATAGTATCTCCCAGAAAATATTTTTACTAAATCATGTTAACAGTTTACAGTAAGGCATAGTGTTTTATCTGCATAAGAGTACTGAGAATAGTTATGCTTCTTATCTGATACTCTTAATACCTGATCTCTAGCAGAATGCGTCAGCCAGGGTGTTAAATATGTGCAAGTAGAAATATAAAAGTGGTTACGTTTTTTTGTTAAGGGTTTTTTTTTTTTGCTTCAAAACATAGACTGTTGATTCAAACTGTTACTACACACTAAAAATCTGTTCTTTCCTCACCCTAAAAACTCTGTTTCCAGGCAATGACATTTATGATAACAGAGGCTTTATGGACTTCTATAGTCCAGTTAGATATACTACCACTCCTACAGGTTTGAATAAATCAGAATGAGGATTGACCACATCCCAAGACTGGCAAGCAGAGACTTGCCTCTTTACTGTATTACAGATTGAGTGGCCTGGATCAGGGACCACTTTGATAACAAAAATAAAAACCCCTTTCAGACAATACAAACTTTACATATTATGGAAATACTGGCTCAGTATGTTGTGATTAAGTTTAGGACCATGGTATAGTGAGGACCTCTTAAAAATATTCAAAGGGTCATTCAACCCTAATGTGTTATTTTAATCATAGGCAGAGTCTAGTAGGGTTATTCACCTGCTGGCTAGACCTCTTGAAAAGTCAAATAGGAAGAGTGCCCCCCTCTGTAGTTCACGGCTCTGTTTCCGCCCTCCATGAACTCATGAATGTCTCTGGTCCTGCTTTTAGGTGCTCCCATTTCGATCCAAACAGGGATAGTGCAAACCTCTCCTAAATGTCATTAAAGGTGTCCTGGCCTGGGAAGACTTTGCCACTAAAGCCCAGGAGAAATAAATTCTGTATCTACAAAAACTAGAATATTCATGTTGGGTGGACCAACACTTTACTGTTGGTGATACAAGGCGAGCAGATGCTATGATCAGCAGCCATATTTAGAACAATGGTCACTCGGCAAAAACTAATAAAAAACAGTTGAAATCAAAAACAAACTACATACTGCCAATCCTGAGAGATACCTTGAAACTAGGGAAGACCTGCATATATACAGGTAGTCAAAACCTTTCATGGCTACAAAGAGCAAAGGGGGTCCACCTGAATCAAAAATACAGCAGATGAAACAATATAAAAAAGGTAGGGCCAGCCCTAGATTCTTGAACAACTGAATTAAGGCACTGTGAACTTATAAGACACCAGAGAAGAAGGCCTTAGAGGAAATGATGAATGTTGAAAAAGGTTAGCAGTTTAGCACCGATTGGGGTGTACAGTGTTCTAATAACATTTCTAAAGCCCAACCTACATGAGAATTAAAAGGTTGTGATAAAAAAAAATGTGAAACACGTGGAACCACTCTGATATCTTCAAAACCAATGCAGGTGCAGGAATGAGGTACATCAGTGGAAGGGCAGTCTTGTGATTGGCACAACTCATGGATATTCAGGTAAGTGCTTCTGGCCCCTAAAAGTTCTCTTGTCTAAAAGCAAAGTGATTAGGGCCGATGGAACCTGGAGAAGAAACATGGTAAGTTGTACTGCACAGATATTAACTTACAAAGTACAACTGTGGGCTCAAGAAAGGACTCACCGTGTATAGTGTCTGCTTTCATCATGAACAGCCATTTCCGTGCTCTTGAAGTCATTCAGTTCTTTACGAATTGCTGCCTGCAAGACAAAGGAACTTGTTTTACTGAAAGCCAAAAATGTTGCTTTGCCCAAGGAACTCAGGACTAGCCAACTTCCTGTTGACTGCCAGGCTCTAACAATTCTACCAACTCGTGAGTAAACTGTATAATTAAACAAAAATCTAACAAATGTAAAGCATAATATACCTTACTTTAAATGGGGTTTAAGGATACATTGTTCTTACTGCACATATGAACCAAATTGTTTCTAATTTTATTCTGAGAACCTTTTTATTGTCCCATGCTGAACTGGGAGGTTCAAATAGTATATAGTCAGTTGCTCTCTACGAAGGATGTATCAATATAACCGACTGTCACCATAAGACACATTCAAAGTGATTGTAAACCTCTAACATGAAATATAAACAAAGCATATTCCTCTAAAAGTGTGTACTTGTCTCAAACTAGAGCACTAAATGTAATTTCTCATTTCTGTCTGCTAGCTCCTTCCTCTATCTGCATGAGTTACTGCTAACAAGTTTTCCTGACACCAAGCAGTAAAAAAGTAACATGGGTGGGAGCTCGAGCACATGGCCTGTGATTGACGGCCTCAGCTCTGTTTGTGTGTGTTTGTGCATATTCTGAAAGCTCAGATAAGCTGTATAAATTCTGTACTTTCAACAGCTCTGGATAACAGAGGCCTGCATATAGACAGGTACACCTGATAAACAAGTATCACCTGAGGCTAGTCCGTTCACTGGGTATATGTAATAGTTTACAACCACTTAAAAGTTCTTTTTATTAACAAAATACAATGGTACCATAAATGTATAGGTCTATTCCTATTTGGATTACTGCTTAGATCTGGGAGAATTGCACAAAGGACAAAATTCAAAGAAGAATATACATGCCTCTAGTATTTAGACAATATCTGTCTAGCCAGGATTTCAGCTGTTAATAGACGTTTGTCTCCCGCACCTTTTTGCATGTGTAAAGTCACAGAGAAATTACCAAAAAACACAATACGATATCTTTAAGGTCTCATGCACACAGGACGTTTTGAAAACACTCCTCCTCCCGACAATGTTTTGGCAGAATAAACACCCGATGCTTGTACAAGCGTTAAGAACAATTTACAGGAGTCAAGCGCTTGTGCGTTAATTGTAACGAATGCTCAAGCACTAAATGTGCCTAGCGCTAACGTGTTTAGACATGTCAATTTTTTTTTTCTGCCAAAACGCTGCTGCTTCTGGATGCACTGGTCCTGGGTTTTAATTCCTGCTGGTAAATGCCCCTGCCACTAAAAGCTTCTAAACGTCTGTGTGCATGGACACATAGGATAACATGGAGGGGCAATTGGAAGCAGTAAAAACTGCCTGACGCCCCAAAAAGTGGCTGCAAAAATGTCCTGTTTGCACGAGGCCTAAAGGTGTATTATGATTGTTCAGGTGTATATACCTGATTTGGTTGTTCTGCAAAAGCCTAGTACAAAATCATGCCTAAAACTGCTTGTAGGCCCATGCACAAAATCATGTCTGTGAGCTCCTGGTGTTCATTTTTAATTTGCAGTACTACTTTTCTGATCTATAGCAGGTGTATGGGGTAAGGAGGCCAGAGCCTATGTCAAATGTCACAACATTTTCTACCTGTATGTCTTATCTATCATCTAAGGGGGCTCTTCTCTTTTTTCTGTATGTTGTTTTCTACCTCTTTAAAAAAACAAAATGTAAAGACAGTTTAGTTTCTCTCTCAAAAAATAATCTAACAAAAAAGTATACGTAATTTTTCAAATCTATTTTTCAGTATGTTTGGCATCTTCGGTGCATGCTTCACAGTTTTCCCAAGCAAATAATAAACAGCAGCAGCATTGTTATAGCTGTTTCAGTTGGCTGTTGGGCCTATCAGATCTAGGTAGACCACAAAGGCAGCCCAGCAGCCAACCAAATGAGCTTGCACAGCAGACTCACAATGTGATTTAGGAGGCAGTGGCTTAATGTAGTCATCTTGAAACAATGTGCTGTTACTGCCAGGATCTCCAGGGAATCAACTTTGCAGTGACGCATGATGCCAAACATACTTAAAAATGGGCTTTTTGTACTTATCACAAAATACACAGCTCAAACAAATTAAAGGAACACTTTTTAATCAGAGCAATGAAATGAAAAACAGGTGCACTAGATGGGCAACAATGAGACAACCCTCAAAACAGGAATGGTTTTACAGGTGGAGGCCACTGACATTTTTTTCCCTACTCATCTTTTCTGACTGTTTTCACTAGTTTTACATTTAGCTAGGGTCAGTGTCACTACTGGTAGCATGAGGCGATGCCTGGACCTACAGAGGTTGCACAGGCAGTCCAATTCCTCCAGGATGGCACATCAATACATGCCATTGCCAGAACATTTGCTGTGTCTCCCAGCACAGTCTCAAGAGCATGGAGGAGATTCCAGGAGACAAACAGTTACTCTAGGAGAGCTGGACAGGGCCGAAGAAGGTCATTAACCCATCAGCAGGACCGGTATCTGCTCCTTTGTGCAAGGAGGAACAGGATGAGCACTGCTAGAGCCCTACAAAATGACCTCCAGCAGACCACTGGTGTGACTGTCTCTGACCAAACAATCAGAAACAGACTTCAAGAGGCTGGCCTGAGGGTCCGACGTTCCCTAGTGGGCCCTATGTTCACTGTCCGGCACCACAGAACTCGATTGGCATTTGCCATTGAACACCAGAATTGACAGGTGCACCACTAGCGCCCTATGCTTTTCACCGATGAGAGCAGGTTCACCCTGAGCACATGTGACAAACGTGAAAGGGTCTGGAGAAGCCGTGGAGAATGTTATGCTGCCTGTAACATCGTTTAGCATGACCGCTTTGGTGGTGGGCCAGTGATGGTCTGGTGAGGCATATCCATGGAGGCTAGACACTGGCACCCTGACTGCCATTAGGTATTGGGATGAAATCTTTGGAATTATTGTCAGACCCTATGCTGGTGCAGTGGGTCCTGGGTTCCTCCTGGAGCACGACAATGCCCGGCCTCATGTGATGAGAGTGTGCAGGCAGTTCCTCGAAGATGAAGGAATTGATACCATTGAATGGCCTCTATGCTCGCCTGAACTAAATCCAATAACACTTTTGGGATGTTTCGATCCATCCAACGCTCCATCCAACACTGCCAGGTTGCACCTCAAACTGTCCAGGAGCTCAATGATGCACTGGTCCAGATCTGGGAAGAAATACCCCAGGACACCATCCATCGTCTCATTAGGAGCATGCCCCTTGTCAGACATGCACACAAGCACGTGTGGGCCATACAAACTACTGAGTACCATTTTGAGTTGCTGCAATGAAATTTCAGCAAAATGGACTAGCCTGCTGCAGGATATTTTCACTTAGATTTTTGGGGTGTCTTTGAATTCAGTCGTCTGTAGGTTGATAATTTTCATTTCCATCAAACGATGGGGCATCCTTACATTCCTAACACATTACCCAGTCCATATCAGTATAGATAGCCAGCATGATACTTTTCCCCATTGAGATCTGAAGTGTTTTCAAAGTGTTCCTTTAATTTTTTTGAGCAGTGTATTTCTTAGGGTTCATTAAAGGACAAAGTCATTTAGAGATTGTTGGGTTATACAGCTACATACAGGAGGACTGAACACAAGTAAAAAAAGAGTGATCATTCCACTATAACTCCTTTTACTCAGTTTGGTGGAAAAGCAGTACCAAGAGCATGGTCATAGACACAAAGGGGTTGGACCTGTGCCCCTCAAAGAATGCCAAGAAATGTATTTTATGGGTAGTAGAAAAATTCTACATTCCATTTTATAAAGGAATTCAGAGACTGTTGGGGGTCATTCCAATTTTAGAAGTTGGCACCAGCAACAGAACTAAAGGCCCACACAAGAAAACAGCAACTGGAGATGCCTGCAGCTTAAAGAGCCACCTAAAATCTAAAATTGTCATCAGGAAAAGCTTTAACATCCCTCTGCTAAAGCGTAGAGAACATGTGATAGAAGACCAGGTGGCAGCCTTGCAAATCTGGGAAACAGTTGCCTGCTGCAGAAAAGCACTTACTCAGCAGCACATCCATCTGGGCCAGATCAGAGATGAGAAGATCAACCAAATACCCTCCATCTTGATCTTTTACAGCATACAAGGAAGGGGTTTCAGAGGAAGAAAGACGCAACTCAAAATGTAATGATCCCACCAAGCCATTAGAGCATCCACTGTTTCTGCTAGAAGATATCTGCACCTGGAGACAAAGCTATCCAGTTTGTTGTTGAACCTGGAGGCCAAGTGGTCCACCTTCCAATGGCCTCCACCTGTGACACAAGTCCTGGAACACCTCTGGGCATAGGGACTATCAACCCAGTGTGAATCTGGTTTTTAATGTCCTTCCAACCAGGGTGGCCAGAGTTGCAGGGACACTAGAATTGGTCTCCTAAAAGATGCGTGCGCACTAGAATTGGTCTCCTAAAAGATGGCACCTGCGGTATATGTATGCGCCATTGCCTATATAAACTGACGGCACGCGGCTTGGCGTTATTGTTGTTCACCCCTGATGACGTGCGGGTGCACGAAACGCGTAGGAAGAGCCAATAACGCCATGACATCACACCGCCGGAGCAACGTGGAGCTCCGGCGGCCATCTTTGATTCAGGACGGTTAGTCCCATTACCTATACTACACACAGTCACTTTACCTTGGATGTAATTTTTTACCTGGATACCGGATACCTTTACCTGGATGTTTTTCCCTAATAAACAAGCCTTACTAAACTATGGGTACTCTTCTACTTTAACTCCCCTGGGGAGTATTAATTTGCTGATAACCTAGCATCCAGTTTCCAGAGAGGGAGCCCCTGTACATCTGGTGAGCTAACCCATCCATCCCTTAAAGGGATCTCTGGCACCCTACTGGTTCACATCAGAGGCCCCAGGATCCATACCCATCCGGTGAGGGATTTAACCCTATTCCTGCCCAGATTTGGATGACATCAGGATTTTAATATACAAATGCGCATTTTATTATGCGTTCCGGTGAGTGCGCATTTCTCCTATACCTGATTGCACAAGCTCCGAATTCTAGATGAACGCAGGATTCCTATATGCACTGATAGTCACTTTATGAACTATTTATATATCACATTTTATATATCATATATTATTTGATTGCTTTTGATGCTTTTATGTACCTATTTTAGCGCTGCGCATTATTTTATCTAGAGTTGCAGGGACAACCAAGTCCCCTGAAGTTCCAGAATATTGATCAGGAGATAATATTGCTCTAATTTCCAAGCCCCTCTGCACTGACAGGGTGTCTAGCACACTGGAAGGTGGGACTTCCCCCAACTCCACAGCTTTTTGGGCAAGTAGGAAGGTCATGATGACAGGATGATGAGATATAAAGGTCTGGACTGGAACCAGAGAAATATAACTGGTTCGAATGAGACTATCATCAACTCTAGAATTCATGCAAAAGTGGAAATTTGGGTGACTTCTAGCCTTAAGAGTAAGAGTCTGGGAGTGCAGAGTCTAAAGTTTCTCCTAGGGAAGAAAAACTCTGGCTTGAGCTAACATAACTTGAGCTATGTTTAGACCCCGTCATTTCAAGCAACAAATCGGCTTGAGTGCTAACTTCTGAAGGCTCAGGACTCACCAAAAACTTATAAAGGTCTGAACAGTTTAAGCTATATTGTCAGCCAGGGCCTGTGCCAACTTCTCACACAGTAGGTGACCACACAACAGGGAGAGTACAGTACCGCTAGCATTGGGACCAGAACTCTAGTTAACACATGGTGCAGAGGACAGACTGAATGGTAGGGCCACAAACTAAAAGTGCTGAGAACCCACGGCAAAACAAAGAAATTGCTGATGCACTGTAAAATAGGAACATGCAAGTGTAAGCATCTTTGATGTTCACTGAGGCCCATACATTTTCTGTGGTGAAGAATGGCTATAATGGATCTGGTTGAATACAAGCCTTAATACTTATCTTTCTGTTGTGTGTTGCACAAAATGCTGCTTCTGCTGAAGTCTCTTCTAAAACCGACACTTTGGGCAGTGTCGATCTCCTTTGTCCACCACCAACCGCTATGATACTAGAGGACACAGTAGTGACTTAGAAGTTAATTGGAGCAATTAATAAGCACAGCGGGGGGAAACATGAGATTGAAACTCCTGGAATGCTGGTTTCAGAACAGACTTCAGAGGAGGATTTCTCTTAAAAAAAAAAAAAAAAAATCAGCATTCTGTGGTGCAGGCAATGGGAGAAATAAAAAGTTTGAATCTTCTTTACAGGTACTGCCTTTATTGCAAAATGTAATGAATTGGGTTATGATTGAGGGTAAATATTTAAGGAAGCGGGGAGAACAGCAAGATGTAAAACATGTTTACATTAATACAGGGAATACATTAAGGTAAAAAAATTTTGGAGTTTAGAACCACTTCAAAGACCAAACCCTGGGCTCCCACAACCAGTGAGGTTTGTGTTCAAAATCCTTGAAATCCATGTTAGCAAATATTATAGATGGATCTAAGCCTGGTTAATTAATAAGACATTATGGTGTATCTAACTTGATAAAGGCTCCTTACCTTGTCAGCAGGGGTAAGCTTGGTCCAGGGTTTATCAGCTCTCCTGTCATAATCATGAGCATCTGTCACCTCTACATACTCATTAAACCTAAGGATTTTTCTTTCCAGCAACTCTGCCACTGTAGGTCTTTGACTTAGCTATGGATAGATACAAGAGAGAAAGAATATAAAATACTGTTTACTATTACTGCCACATTCAGGGCCAATTCACACTGACTTACGCTAAAATGTATAGAAAATGGATGTATGTTTCCATCCATTTAGTCAAGCACTGACATCCATTGACATCCATTTGACATCCACTGACATCCATTTTTGATGTCCGTTGACATACATTTTAGTGTGCGTTAAAGCATACTGTATTTTCACAGGATATCCTGTGCATTGTGTTGACATCTGCTTACATCTGTAGCCCTAAAATGCATACATGTTGCATTTTAGCGCAACGCGGGTCCTTGCAGCATTATGGTGTGAATAGAACACATTGGAAATTGTTTTTCAGATGTCCTTCTGGTGATCTGCGTTTTACAGCTGCGCTAAAACGCAGATCAACGCACTAGTGTGAATTGGCCCTCATAAAACTGAAGTATAAAAAAGCTGCTGGCTATAGCGTCTTGCTTGATTTGTCTTGCTATACAGTAACTCCAATGTTGATATACTGAGCAAAGAATTGTATGACTAAACAAGAATGAATTTTGAACAAGCATACTATAAATATTTAGCCACTAGATGAGTACCTTGCGTGTCAGTCGCCTCTTTATTTCACGTTTCTCTGCTAACCGGTCTGCTTCATTTTTTTCTGGAAAATAAACAGGTTTATTCTTACACCATAAGATCTGTAAACACCTATTAAAACAGAAATTGTCAGTCTAAAAGTGATTAAGGGTCCATACACACTGGGATTAAAAAACACTTGCTTTTAAAGGAGTTTTGTGTTTTACTTGTAGAAGCAGCTCAATGTTATCCGATACGTCCATGCACATTAGGACATTTAAAGACATACTTTAAGTTCAGCGTTTAGATACAGAAAAAAAAACCTTCTGGTTTGCATTTTGAGTAGAATTTTCAGGCAGAAAAAAACAAAAAAAAAAAACAAAAAAAAAAAAAACACGCTTCTAAACGTCTGTACAAAAATGCTCTATATGAGTGTTTTTTTTCTGCCAAAAGAACTGGCATTTTTTTAAGCCCAGTGTGCATGGCCCCTAAAATTACATACACCACAGTGAGATCATAATGACCCCTGCACAATTTTCAAGCTTAAAGGCAATATATTGTGTTATTCCTGTTTAAAATTCAGTGAGAATTATTCTTCCAACTGGTAGAAAGTGTAGTCCCTTGATGCTAATGTGGCTTGTCAGTTGATGAGATGCTGGCATTAGGAACAAAGCTACAGAACATCTATCTACAGTTGCTCCTCTTTCCTTTAAGGGAGGTTCACACTATAGAAATGCAGTCCAGAAGTGTTCCGGATGAGTTTTTGGTGCATTTTTGACGTGTTCCAGTGCGTTTTTTTTTATGCATTACAGTTAATTTTTCCTCTTTTTCTTCAATTTAAATAGGGACATGTGTGTTCCGTGCATTTTACTGCGTTCCAATACAGTTCTGTGCAGAAAAAATGCAGCCTGTTCTACTTTTTTTTTCTGCACCTGGAATGCACTGGAACTGCAAGCACTGATGTGAACTACACATTGACAACCATATAACCTACTTTCTGTGCGTTTTGGATGCAGAAAAAAACGCAACTGAAACGCATGTAGTGCAAACCAGGCCTTAAAAATCCTTCGAAAAAGCTCAGAGGAAGGATTCTGTTGCCAATTTTCCTCCTAAACCCGAATTTAATTTTTAGATGGAGTCCTTCTTTACAGTATTGATTATATGGCCTTCAAAGTGTCTAAGGTAACAGTGCCTGCATCTTGTGTTAGTCCAAACTGATCCATGTAAAACCCCTCGTGTTTTGGGCTGAGGCTGTATATAGCTCTAAAATATGAAGCTCTGGCCTTTTCTAGCGCAAAGTTCAGTCGCTGTTGTAAAACTGTCAAATTCTGAGACCACTACTCCCAACTGAAGGTCTGAGATTCAAATGGCAAAGAACAGAACAGAGTGCCAAGAGGATGTGATACATAAAGTCAACTTGGAAAAAGTAAAGGCTCTTTGTACAGTCTAAGAAACTAAGTTATTGTTTTGAAGATCACAAGGTGCCTCAAGTACAGCAGTATCGGCAAATTGTACCATGGTCAGGTTTACATTAACCAATGACACCTGACTTTTTGGAGTCTTTTCTACTATTGTGAATTATAGTATATCTCCTGCTAGTACTTAAAACCTATATATTAAGCATTCCTTCTGTTCCTTGTTACATATTAGTTTAGAATATACCATTTAACTCTGATGTCATTACAATTGTCATACTGTTTTTTTTCTAGCCTCCTTTCCAAGAGTTTGTTTTTTTATACCTCTCATAACATTAACTATGCATCGGTTTATACTCCCACTTTAACTTACGTTGCAAAATGTTCCGCTGCTCCAGCTCCTCTGCAGTAGGTCTTTGACTAAGTCTTCGATTCAGCTGTGAACCAATCTGTTGTCGGATTTGATTCCACTCTTCCCTACTTCGCTGAGGTAACTCAGTACTGGGATCCTGTGAACTGGCTTTTCCACCAAGCTTCATTGCCAGAGTGTCCTTTCTTTTCACCTTATTGGCCAGGGAGCCTGGAAAGAAACATAGGGTAAATTAATTTAACTTTAATGTGAAATTGTCAAGAAGCTTGCATGAAAAGCCTCATTAGGAAGTGGTCATTCTGTGCCTCTTAAACTATATACTGCATACTGGGGCACCATCGCCAATTGCAATAAATTTGAAGGCCCTATTTCACAACTTTTCAACCAGTAGAAAAGGCTTTGTAACAAGTTCTTTTAAAAGTTAAGGGCTGGATTTTATGTGGAACTGCCCTGCTGCTTTTTTACTTTAATAATACCTTTATCTGTATTCTTGTAGAGAAAATGGTTAGGAGGTGGCTATGGTGACTCTTGGTAGGTCCTGACCACTGCAGACTGGGAATATCCCACAAGAGCTGCAGTTTTCAAATTGATCTGACCCGTTTGTTGAGCCATTACAATGTGCCCCTTGTCAAAATCACTCAAATCCTTATGCTTGCCCTTTTTTTGCTTTCAACACATCAAGGGATAACATGTTCACTTGGTGCCTAACATATCCCACCCATTTTCAGATGCCATTGTAACAAGATAATCAATGTTATTCATTTTAACTGCCAGTGATCAAAATGTTATGGCTGATTGGAGTATATGTGTCTACAGTTTCCATTTTCTACAGTGCCTTTGGAGCCCCTATGCAAATACCAACATCAGCTAAGAAGCAGATGTTTTCACTTACTCCCCCCACCTAATGAACTACTTTTCAGTAAGGACATTTATCTTATTAACTGACCAACACAAGGTTGATAATACCTTGGCAGATGGAAGGGTTGGGCAAAATAAGTATCTGTATGATAAAGAAGCCCAGTTTTGTAACTCACAGGATGATCTAGAACAGGGGTTGGAACAGCGTATACCCAGAGACTGACGCAGGCCTCCATTTTGTTAAGAACCTCAATCTTGGCAAAGGGGTTAACCATCCTGATAAACATACTTCCCCCTCATTCTCCCCCTCCCTTTCTGAGAGTCACAGGGACATTTGGCCAGTGTGTATGTGTGTTAGGAGGTCACAGGAGGCCAGGGCCCAGCAGGGAGCTAGGAGCTATAAAGTCCCCAAGGGAGCTGGGGCCTAGCTGTCCGAAGAACCTGTAAAATGTAACACCTCGTACAAGATAAGGCAAGCTTTCCTCAGAGTTCAAGACATTCCAAGGAAGGCGTGACCAGATAACCTTTGTTAAAATCCATTTTTCCCCTATGTCTCATATCTTGGAATATGAGAGACTTACATAAAAACCGGACATATCGTCACATTGGCCACAAAAAGGCGAACAGTTTGGTAGGTCACTCGCATTGTCTTGAATACAAGGGAAACCCGACAAATAGATCTCATGAACCGTTCAGTGTATAATTTCATAATTCATATCTAATAAATCCTCAGACGTGTCTGTCTAATAATCTACCCGCGGGTGGAATGTCACTGGTGCAGATGGAAAGTTATGGGCCAAAATATGAGTTAAGGGAGATATCTCTCTCTGATATCTCTTTGCTGTGCTGTTGGTCTCTGTGTGTATATATATATATATATATATATATATATATATATATATATATCTTAGTTACATATTTTTATTGCACCTGTTTGACCTTTTAGTAATAAATCTTTCCTTCTGAAAGTGTTGAACTGTTTCTATAGCTCTGTATTGCAATTTATGAATTCCTGCCTCTAAAGAGAACGCTACTGTGTTTGTTTAACCCTCTGTATAACTGTGTTATACAGACGATTACCTCAACCATTACAGTGTTATTGCGGATATCGCCGCGTTTCCTCTTTCTCTGTACAAAAAGGAGGTGGTGGCAGTGTGAAGGGTAATTGCGTAATTAACCTGACCCAGTAACAATTGCTCAGGCTGCCGGTACATCGATTATGGTCCAATTAGCTGAAAAATTGTTGTGCAGGGTGCAGCTGGGTGTGGCATTGTTACGCACGTGACATAGCGGTTTTAGATCGGCTAGTCCTTTGGTCACGAGTTTGGTGAGAAGGTCTGGGGTCTGACGCCACGATCGTGACAGGGGTCTCCAAACATTCTTTATTTTTTTTAAGTATATTTTGTGTTTTCAAGGATACAAAGTAGATGACAAGGCGTGAAGTCCTCAAGAAAAAGGCAAAAAATGTCGTGGCATTGGTGGGAGTGAACAACGCCCAATCGTTGGTGTTAATGAAAGGAATAGAGCCCCACACTTGGTGTCAGAGGGAGGAATAGTACCCCCTCAAAGGTGTTCGTGAGAGTTATATTGCCCCATAATTTTTTCCACGACGGGAATAGTGCACTATCATTTTTTTCCGAGAGAGGAATAGTGCCCCATCATTGGCAGGAATAGTTCTCTATCAATGGTGTTAAGGAATAGTGTCCCATCATTGGTGACACTGAGAGCAATAATGCCCCATTGCTGGTGTCAGTGGGAGAAATTGTGTGTCATCATTGGTGTCTGTGAAAGGAATAGTACCGAATTATTACTACTATACAGGATTTATATAGTGCCAACAGTTTGTGCAGCGCTTTACAAAATGAATTAATGTAATGAGGAGGAACAGCACGCCATTATTGGTGTTAGTGGGAGGAACAGTGCCCCACTGTTGGTGTCAGTAGCAGGAATTATGCCTTATTGTCAATTTCAGTGGGAGGAACATTGCCCAAAGGGGCACTAAAGGCAAGCAAAAGGACGCAGCTGACCCCCAGCGACAGGCTGCAGACCACAGATCTAGAAGACTTGAGCTTGAACTATGCAACCCCTATATACCTACATTAACAGTCCTATGCTTGTTTACATTATTTAAAGTGGACTTTCAGTAACTTTAAAAATCTGCACAAATACATTTCTAACATGTCACAGCAGACAGCAAGACTGTGGTACTTTTTTTTTTTTCTTTTTGAAAAGCCATCCTTGAGCAAACCAGTCAATTACTTTGATTAGGCTGAACACTCAGGAAGGATTTCCTAATACTGCAAACTTTCATAAGGTACAAGGTGAGAGGCTGCAGCAAGAAGCTTGTCTGTATAAGGCATTTGTGAACAATGTCAGGAACTACAAAGGCAGGATTGTGAGCCAGCAACTCAATCTGGGAAGTAGAGATTTTCAACCTGTATAATACCTAAAGAATAAAAAAAAAAAAAAAAAAAAAAAAAAAGAAGAGGGCACTGGTCTTCTGAAAAGAAAATCCGATAATATTATTGTAATATCTGTGAGAACTAAAAAAAATACTCCTAACGGCCTGTTCACACTAGAATGCAGTGCAGGAAACCCGTGTTCTGTGCTGGTTTCCTGTACTGCATTCAAAATGCACTGCCCTTGGCTCTGCAGTGGGTGTCAGTGCAAAGTTAATGATATCCCAAACGTAGGTTGCAAACCCAGTGCCTTTGGCCACACTGGATCACAAGGTACAAAAGTACCATGCAATCTGGTTGCAGTGTGTATCCAAAATGAGTGAATGCATTACTTTTGTTACGGTGCAATTTCAGGCCTTTTAAACTGCAATTCACGTGCAGTTCCTAGTGTGAATGGGCTCTACATGTTAAACTTGCACATTACTTAGCACACTGCAACTATATTTTTGTACTTCCTTTTCTTGGAGTTCATTGATGGACACGTAAATCCAACATTTCATATTCCTGATACGTACCTGTTGCACCATGTACTTGTGTGAAAAAGTATCCTGTTCTCTTTGTATTGCTTCCTTTGTGTGAAATCCCTGGTGTTCCAGTCAGTTCTTCTGCTTTCCTATTAAAAACTGACCACACTAAGCAGGAGAACCCACTGTGGTCAGTTCTCAAGCTATGCTGGGAATTCAGCCTGCTCTGCTCCAATGATGAGACCTGCCCTAACAAAAACTAGGTACCCTCCACCCCCTTCCCCCCCTCCCTTGAATTGAATGCTCTGGGTTCTGAGCAAGAGCAGCAGACTATAGACTGAAGGGCAGTGCGAGAAAATGGAAACGATTTTCTGCCACTGTAAAATGCAGAAATTTCTGAGGTGGGTAAATAGGAGCATGCAGCTAGGCATCTTGGATATTCACTGATGCCAAGAATTTAGGGATTTGAAGGAATCTGTTGAGAGATTTTAGGTCAAAAATAGGGTAAATATCACTGTTGGGCTTTGGTACTGTAGAAACCTTTGAACCGGTCTTGTGGAGGTACTGGTACAACAACTCCCTGGCACAAGAGGTGTTTTAAAGGCTTTTGCATCCAACAGTTCTTGGTTGATTTGAAAAATTAAAGTGCTGAGGGGCAGAGTGAGTAGTAGGGTTCCCCTTCAATGTGAACTGGGCTTTGGGGAAGCCTTTGTGTCTTTTGTTGGCCAAGCCTTGTGCTGAAAGGAAGGACTGAACTTAGGCTTTGACGTTTAATCTTGGGTAAAACAGACAGGTGTTCTGTATTTTGAGGAGCTACTGAGAAAGAGGTTACTTCGTGGAAGTAAACATTTCCTCCAGTGATCTCTTTTATAAATTGGTCATGTGCCTCACCAAACAGACGTCTTCCTTGAAAGGGCATACAGTATGTGCGAGATGCCTTTTACAGGAAGTATCAGGTGTCCAAACATTAAGCCGTACGATCCTGTGTATGTTAATGCAGCTGTTAGAGCAAAGAGCCTTTAGGAGCATCTCAAACTTTCTATCTGCAGAATCTATAAAAAAGGAACATCTTCAATATGCACAGTGAGATGTTTGTTCTTAACAGTAAAGCCGGTTCAACCACAGGTATAGCCCACACTTTTTCCACTGTATAGAAGGCAGAGAATATCCTTTCTGGTGTGACCCAGTTGTCATATACTGGACATTCTATCTGCTCACGAACAAGGAATGTTTTGCAGAAATTAGTGGGTACTCAAACGTGCATGGCGAGATGGAGAAGTGCCAGACCACCCAACGCTAAGACTTTTATGGACAGAGACAATGAGCGTTTCAGTATTATCAAGCATGTTGCGTCCAGTCCCCCTTGAATATAATGGCAGTCTTCCATAGCATTCTCCAAAACTGCAATATCCTCTTTATTCTTCTGTCT